ATATTATATTTAATGAGTTTCGATTATAATTTTAATTTACAGAAATCACAGAAATTGTTTTAAATCAAATTATATACCATAATAATTAACTGTTACTAGCAAAAGTATAGAACATACTGTGTTAATACTTTTTGTGTAAATTATCAATAATAAATGAAATAGTTATGTTATTTATAATACTCCCAAGATATAATAGAAGAAAATGTATTAGTGTATAATAAAATAAAWTTTTTTTTTAGTAATGCCTTAGTTCAGAATTGTTTTAAATATTTAAGGAGTTATTAAATCATAGTCACATGAAATTGCAAGGACTCATTATATTAAAGTAATGCAATGCTGATGAATAAAACCAATGATTTGAGGCATCCCATTTCTTTTTAGAGTATGCATACTTTCTAGAAATACATATTTTTAATGATATATATTTATATCTACAAAAAAATACTTACACTAGCATACTTCATATTATAATAAATAAGGCTAAAGCTTAGTATGGCTGTYAYGATTTCTCTTAATTCTATCATATATACTGCTCAATGCATACAGCATGTATTTGACCATTGTAACAAGATACAAATAAATAAATAATTTGTGTATTGGTATTTACTAAATATTTATGAGGTGGGAGACCTTGAATAGTTTTTAGTTCTTGATATGGTGTATTATCAAAATGGTTTCAAGGGTATTACCGCGTCCCAATAGAAATTATAGATTTTTCTCGATATTTACAGGATTATTTGAATTTTTGGCTGACCTATGTTTGTGTTTGGGYGCATGGATGGCATCTGTCTTATTGCATAATTACATGGCAGCAAATGTTTTTCGAAATCCAATGAAATTTTTTGATGCTACTCCAACTGGTCGAATTTTGTCCCGTTTCTCAGGAGACGTAGAAGTTGTTGATAAACTTTCTCAACAGCTATCTGATACAGTTTATTGTTTCATGGATGTACGTGTCATTTTATTTTATTGTATAATTTTTGCGACTAGAATATTGGTTTATTAATTGCTTTGTAAAAAATGTGTATCTGTTAAAGCATCGATGATTTAATACTAATTTACCTTGTTATATACATTGCTCATGGATAATGCATTTCTTTGTGAACTACGAGTGTTAATAGTACTTATTTGTTTACTATTTTGTGGTTTATGGGTTTGCTGTCCAAATTACATTATAAGTACTTCAATATTTTTTTTTTAAACAAAATGTATTTATATATATTGGTCAGTAGTCTATTTGTTAATAATAAAGTTTATCTTCCTTAGTATTTCAATGGTTTTATGATTGTAATAACTAATACTTTAATAAAAAAAAAGTTAATTTTTATTGTATAAAAAAAAAATTAATTCATGTATAGCAAACCTATAAAACATGAAATTATAATACTAAGARGACGCTACACACATATTTGTTGTCTCCATCTTATTAGTGTGTAACAG